ATGGGTAATGAAGAAAAACTTTAATATAAGTTTAACATAACAGCAAATGTACAACGTTTCGCCAAGGTTTTGTCATCATTGTACAAAACCTTGTCGAAATGTTGTACATTTGCTGTTATGTTAAACTTATATTAAAGTTTTTCTTCATTACCCATTCAAGCCGTCTCCAGCCATTATGCGAGAGCTATGTCACGTCTATAAACATGTGCCTGTCAGTAGTAGATACAGTAGTGGGGTTCCGGAGGGTTCGAACCCCTCCCTTTTCTATGCGAAGTGTCCTTAATATGCAACATATTTTTCATTGTTTTTGGATTTTCTAAAACTTAGGAAAATAATCATTATAAAAATTTAAAAACAACTTGTTATGTAAATTTCATTACCTCATTTTCCCTTTGCGAGCCCCTAGTGACACAGCAGCATGTATACAGACTCACAACGCTAGAAACCGGGCTTCGATACCCGTAGTGTGCAGAGCACAGATAGCCCATTGTGTAGCTTTGTGCTTAACTCCAAACAAACTTTGTCTTTTTTTTATGATTATTACCATTTCCTGAAATAATCTGAGGGTCGCGGGTTCGAATCCCCGTCCCACCAAACATGCTCGCCCTTTCAGCCGTGGGGGCGTTTTACGTGACGGTCAATCCCACTATTCGTTGGTAAAAGAGTAGCCCAAGAGTTGGCGGTGGGTGGTGATGACTAGCTGCCTTCCCTCTAGTCTTACACTGCTAAATTAGGGACGGCTAGTGCAGATAGTCCTCGTGTAGCCTTGCGCGAAATTCAAAAACAAACAAACAAAATTACCTGAAATAATATTAATTTGATGATAGCTTGGTAGATCTAAAGCCTGAATGGCCACTTTATTTGTTTCTATTATGAACAAGTGTGAGTAGCCCCACTGGAAGTCTTCAGTTCCAGACCTCGTAGACCCTCAATCCGGCCCTGTATATATTTTGTAAACTATACTTTAAATGTTTGCTAGAGGGCGTAGAATGTTATGATTTGGAAAATTTGTATTGTGAGTAATAGGCGGGTACGGTATGTACACGACTAAAGTGAAGCAGTGAATCAGTGAGTAATGTTTGAGCAGTTAATTTTTTAGATAGACGCACCATTAGTTTCGGAAGTACTGTTCAAACATTCTTGTATAATAATAACGTAGGATTTAGTAAACCTTACAGAATAAATAAATGAATGTATATTATGATGTGGACTGAACTTGGAATTATGTTTACCAAATAGTCCAACAGAACTTGCTCATTGATAAAATGCGTTACAACACACATTTCAACTTGTTCAACTTGGGGTATGATGGTGGGTAAAATAGAATGCGTGGCTTAGCTAACTAATGAATGAATATTTGCTTTAATATTGTTTGGCCGCCAATTTTGATTTCGTTCCTTTAAGTCGCGCCCCCAGTAGCACAGCGGTATGTCTGCGGACTTACAACGCTAGAATCCAGGTTTCGATACCAGTGGTGGGCAGAGCACAGAGAGCCCATTGTGTAGCTTTGTGCTTAATTACAAACAAACAAACCTTTAAATCGCGTGCTAATTCCTTTTTTTTTGCCACACCTTTTTCTTACACCTAAGGTGTTTATGATTATATATCACACCAACAAAATACAGCAAGTAAGAAAGTGACACTCGATAATAACCAACATTAGCTTTAGGATCGTAACCCTATTATTCGGAACATAAATAATAAATCAACAATAAAAACAAATAACGAACTTCCGGTTGCAAAATACTTTAACATATCTGGACACTCTCTTGAAGACATTAAACTTATAGGTGCAGACACATTTTACATCTAACAGAAACAGGGGGACTTAAAGAAGCTTATTGGATAGCAATGTTAAATACTGTAACGCCAAATAGTATCAATCTCGATCCCGGGGTTGTTGACCTTCGCAAGTCCCTGAAAATATTTTCAAAACTAATTTCATGATTAGACTTACTTTACATTATCAGTATTATTCTTCCTTGAATTTCTCTCTCTATATTGGTTGGAATTTCCTAATGAGCTACATTATTATTTTCTCTATTTTCCACCTCCTTTTGCCGTTATTTAATTTTAATATTATTTCT